TATTAGTTTACATTACCTATACAAATTTGACATTCATTATAGCTTAAAGGCGCCATTGAACCTCAACGGACGTTTGTGCAACTGACGTTTAGTCAAATTTCGCGACAGCCGTGTATCGATAATAGCCCTCAGCCACCTAAACTACTACCAACTAGCTACAAGTGATTTGCCGGGGCGCCGAGTACGAAGAGGATTAGACCAGGGTAGATGGTGATCATCTGAGTAAGCTGTTCGCATTGCTAATAAATTTCCCATACAATTCAATCTTGAACTTGTAAATTTTGTGTTTGTCTGGCTATGCTGTGAAGCTTATTGTCAATATACATCCGCAGAGATGCTGCTTTCAAAAGGAACCATGGAAAGTGGATAGACGGGAATTTGTAAAGTTACTCGAAATAATAATATTTATTGACGTTAACAGTCTTTTGTTATTTTTTTATTTCATTGCAAAAATTTTTTACCTATCCAATCTTGAATCTTTATTAGAAAAGTTTTTAAGTTTTTTGACTAAATGTTTGATTTTTATTAAAAATTTGAGTAATAAGTTAACAGAACGACTCCTGGTAGTTCAATCGTTAAAAAAATAGTACTTTACATTAGTGAACTACTAGGAATAGTTCAACCGGTTGAACTACACAGGTGAACTAATAGGAATTGACGTTTTATCATGTTTTGATATTTTGCACTGGTACTGTATTATTATTAAAGATTTTGTTTTAATGTGTCAATGAGTCACGGCATGCTGATGATTAATGAAGGTATTATCTATTTATTTAAAAATAGGTAGCGATCGGTTGGTTCCTCTCAGCCTAAGGAGATCTTTTCAAAAATATTTTCATGTTGCTTATTCGAATAAAGAATAATTTCATTTAATTTCACACAATTATAAGATAAAACTACATGTGAATATAAATTCCGTAGTTCCGGTAATAATCGTGTCCAAACAGATAGACGCAATAGAAGGACTTGATTTTGTAACATAATTTATAATTTTCCATTGAATATATTAAATTAAAAAAGCGTTATTCTCTGACTTTATCATCGTAAATAAAAGATAATGAGCCTGTTAGCATACTTTATTTTTCTAGAATCTGGGTGTTTATGCAACCCAAAATTCGTTGACAGGCGTAGTGTCGTGATCCACTTGCGATGTGGCGGAGGAATTTGCCCGACGTTGTAAACAACGTGACTCCAAGATCTGGAATATTGCTCTCAAAATAGCTTGCATGCATCACGCCGGGTCATGCGCGTTTATAGGGAAAACTTATCTCACTCACTAGATTGAGTTAATGTCTGTCATTATATGACAACTGTGTCACTAAGGTGCTTAAATGACGCATGGCAATTTGGAATATTGTAAAAATGGACTAAATATTGCTAAAGATTGTGAATAAAACTTTGACTTGGAATAAATAACCATTTGGAATAAATTACCTATAAAACCTATAAATTACCTAAGGAATAACTACCTTGGAATTAATTACCAATTATTACCAACGAATACTCCGTTGGTAATAATTGGGTATGTTAACGCCTACACATTCTTCATAAGGCAATATCTACTGATCTGACGTACTACAAACATCAATTGTCATCCACCGTAGATATTTTTATTATTGTTATGACGGTTGATTTTACTCAATATATATTTTTGACCTTTGTCATCGTCTGTTAAGCTGTGGTTTTATTTTAATCCAAAAAAGGCATCAAACTTTACGAAATTCAAGAATTCAACTTCAACATTTACATTAAACAGGGTATAAAGGTAAAAAAATATAAAATATTAATAACCAATGAGATTGATAAAAATCTTCGATTATAATATAATTGTTCTTTAGATTTTCCTTATATTATAAAGAACATATTTCGGTGAAAGACACAGCATATGACACGAAAGAGAAAAACAATGAAAATTTTGGCATTTAATGTTTTAGATTTCCGTTTTACGTTGTATGTATGACTTCTCTATCTATTAATGTTAAATTGAGTCTATAAAGCTTAAAAAATTAAAAAAAAATTTTTTTTTTCGGATAATCTATCAGACTAATTTCAATAAACTGTATTATCATAATTTTAAAGGGAGTTTACACCCCAAAATTACTAACAGTCAATTGGTTTTCTACAAAGAAATTTAAAAACGTGTAGTTAAAAATGAGAAAATAAAAAACTTACTATATCTTTTAAAAAATCTAGTAATTACAAAGGGAAAATTTATAAAAGTTGTCAAAATGTTATTTCTAAAATCTTCTTGATATCAATAGTTTAATTTGAGATTGAAATTAATAAAAAGGAACCTCGTTTTTGCGGCGCAATTCGCCATCCACTGTCCATTCGATTAGTCGAGCGCAATTAAATAGACAGGGACAGTAATTCAGTTTTACATCTCTGTAAACTGCGGACTATTCGACCGAAACTACGTGCTATTCGATGAAAAAAAATCACGCACGAAGTCACAAAGGGGGGATGATGTTTATAATGTTATTTTCTAAGCATAAAACTATTACGTAAACCATTATTTTAAAGAAAACTTCTTTAATGACAGCGGTAACTCAGTATAGTTCATTTAGTAGCAATAGTTAGCCACACTACACTGTAGTAGATGTAACATCGGCTAAAGGACAAGCATCCAAGCCATGAATAAACTATTAAAAAAAAATTAAAGTAGATGTAACATGTTACCGTGAGCACTTTAGTTTATAAATCATATCAAAATATTCTTATATCGCCATATATTCACATCCTTGTATCTACACGTAAGTGGAACTATGATCGAACCAGGGGCCAATTCTACTAAATAGAATTGGAATCGTATCGTATGTCACTTTTTAGAATAGGAAAACCATTAAAAAGTGTAGTTTCGTTCGGTTTCGATTCGATTAAAACAAAATTTATGTAGTAGAATTGGCCCCCTGTATTTCCGAAGATACAAACATAGTTAGTGTATTTACCTCTATATTATTATGTTTAGATAAATATATAACTTTGACCGTTAAGCTAGTCGAAAATTAGTTATACTGATGTGGTCGACTGTACCATTTTAGCAGACACTAAGTCACTAGGCAAAGTAAATTATTATTTTTAAATCACGAAAGAATAAAATGATTCAATGAATCCACCTTTTAAATTAATTTGATATGCATTGTATGTCTGTCCTTCTTTAACATTGCTTCTGAGAGTGACGTCCCATATTTTAAAATCTAGTCAAGTAAAATTTGTGTGTCTTCGAGACGAAACATATTAAAGTTTGACACAATTTCCGAATTACTACAACGATGTCTTTGTGAAACGAATGCCGTTTTGCAGAGGCGTATACAGAAATTAGTTACGCATTCGAAACTACTTGTTTTATACGATGTGTCAAATGACTGAAGATATATATATATATATATATATATATTTTATGAATATTTATTTGTAATCATTATTTATACTAAGGGTTTTTGCCCGCTACAACGTATTACCGTGGCAGTAAAGGAAAGCACCAGGCAAAAACGATATTCTTTATATTGAAAAATTATGAATCGCAACCTACCTTTGCGTCGCGAATGAATATTAAAGCCCTGGTGATCCATTTTCCACCGCATAAAGAATATATTTTACACATTTTTCATTACAATTTTAGTGAAAGAGCATGAAATAGTTTTACTATTTGCCACTAGAAAATCTGGGCATTACTGATATTTGTGTTCTCTTTTTGTCTAAGACTGCTAAGTGGTGATGGATCGGGCAGAGTCATGAACTTACCAACACCTACTATGACGGGTTCACTCTGAGAATATGTTCTCTTTATAAGAAAGCTCCGTGAAGTTCAAGATCACACCGATAAAGGATAAAATTACCGCAAACCGGGGTCGACTAGTATGGATGCGTGAAAAGACGCGAAGAGTACAGATACCGGCGGATTCGACCAGCCGATCGCCTACTCCTGTAGCTTATAACTTTATGATACGACATCTTAGCGATGTTACAGCACTACTTAGTTTCATTTTACTACTTTCAAATGTACTTTATTAACGAAGGACAAATGACGAAGAATCTTGAATATGGATTTGAAAAAGTAGTAAAATGAAACAAAATATCGTGTGATATTCGCTGAGATCGTATCGTATACCATGGCGTCCCTACTTTAGGCGGTCCCTACCCTGTTGGTCAAATATTATAAGATACCTCAAGAAGCCGATTTGCTAATAACGACATAAATATAACAACATGGTACCGCAGTGTAAGGAGACGATACCAAATAAGGGGCAAGAAAAGATGAAAGAAGAATAAAGCTCCGTGCATGTTGCGCTCCGGTGCTGGTACAAAGGAAAAAGTCCTTAATCTTTCAGCCGCACTATATTGCGAAACGGAAATATAAATTCATTTTCCAGAAATTGTTTACGTTGTTGTAGGTATGTTTTTAGCAAAATATTTCCACTGGCGTGCAATACTTTTCACATCTATTTGTACCGTTGATATATCCAAACAAAAAAGATGCAAGAGCGTCTACATATTTGTTATTTTTCGGCGTAAATCTCTGGATCAAATTCTATAACACCAGAAAAATATTGCACTGCCGTTCTCAACTCTTAATTTTTTATCGTTATGATTTTGTCTGTCCTTTTATAATGCGGACTGGATTTATATTAGGTTATAAAAACAATGTGAACTTGAAGAGAAGCGCGGCGCTGGCATAGCATAGAGGTTCAATCAAATAGAGCCCTTTGCAGTATGTTTCATTGAACCTCTGTGCCGTGTCGGCACTGCGCTCAATGTCGAGTTGTGTATAAACTAGTACAGCCGAGGGATAAGCGTCGTATGTAGAGCGACTGTTTGTATTTTATATGAGGGTTTCTTTTTTATAACCTTGTTTACCCGGTCTCGTTAGCTTCACTAAGATTATTATTTATTTTACCATATCGTCCGCCTAAAAATCTGGCTGTCTGGTCTATTGGAAGTCGTCTGTAGTACAAATATAAAGGCCTTGTTATTTTTTATAAGTTTCTTAATAAAAATGTTTATTTTTCTTCTGAGGATTGGCTGCCTGAAGACCAGCGCAGTTGGTCGTACATGTTTGGTAGGTAATCGTAGTCAAGTCTCTCGTTGTTTATTACCTTCTTCATCGTCATCCAGTCCATCTTGATCTCCGGATCGAACAACCTAGGAAGTTATGTTTAAGCTACTCGTGCTGACCTTTATAAACTCTCAAGCTGAATTATTAGCGCGAAAAAATTGGCAACGAAATTTTCGCTGCTGGCAAACCCATAAGTTCAATCCACCTATAGGATTGGGCACTTGAGTGTTACGTAATGTTTATGGAGGGAGAGGGGGAGGATCAGAAAAACGTTACAGCGCTTTACATTGGGGGAGAGAGGGTCAAAAATCTTCAAAAATTTCGTTACGTAATAATTGAACCTGGCCTTTTATGTATTCCGTAGCACAATTTTTGAACCCGCTTTGAGCTTACTAAGAGTTACGAGGAAGTGAATTGTAGCATATCACAGCTGTTGACGGTATTAGCTTTACTATAATGCATCATTTTGAACCCATTCACGGTAAAGTAAAATCTGCCGATGCATTAGTCAGAAAACGCCTTGAATTTCGAAATGACCAAAGAGGAAGCAATCGTCAAACCCGGGTCTCGCTCTATGCTTGAAAATGTAAGAGATCATTAAATGTAACCTTACTTAGAGATGCACTCCATGAAGGGATAGAGGAACTGTGAGTGAAAGAGGTGGTAGACGTTGGATGAGCCGGTGCAGTTGGTCCACTGCGCGTCTGGTGCCATCATCATGCCGACTGCTCGTCCTTTACACACCAACGGCGCACCGTACATGCCCTGCCAACGGGTGACTTGATTATAACACAATGTCCTTGCAGGACACATGTTGAGGATCATTTATATGTAAGAACATGTGTACCAACATGGAGCAATAAATATTATGACTATGACCACAGAACATTGACTATGACTATAATAGAAAGTGACCTCTATACTTATATTATATATAAAAATAAAGTTACTAATTTTGTTTGTTTGTAGGGTATAATTTTTGGAAATACTGATGAAAAATTCTTTTACCTACGGGAAGCTACATCATACACTGGTGACATAGGCTTAAAATTACACGGACGAAACAGTGGCGTGCACACCATACATGCAAATAAGCACTGCATACCCTACCCATGAAACCCAACTAAATTTTACTATAATATAATCATGATTTGATTAAACTAATAAAAGTGCCATTTATAAGAGTTACGAGGTAGTGAAGGCCGTAAGCAACACTTCTTACAGCTTATTCGCCATACAAACGCGACAGGTCAAAATCCGTGTTGTACGCAGAAGATATTTGTATATGTGTGTAAAATTCATGTATGTGTTAAGGTTACGAGAGGCGCTTAGCTTATAGCAACTTGATTAAATTGAGAAGTCACCGAACTTAATGCGTAAAGGGAATATTTAATTTGGCCGGTGTACCATTTAAATATTTTTTCGCCATTTTGTTTAATTACTTGTCTAAGTGTTAATGATTAAGTTTTAATTTATTTAATCAATCTAATTACATAATTAATTTATATTGTTTAATATTGAGTTGGTTTTGGTTTCTCTTGTTGTGTGGGTTTTGACTTGTTTTTGGAAAATTCGGTCGTGACTTCTTTTAGGGTATATTTCTTTCTGTAATAAAAATCGGCGTCGATCGCAAAGCTGTCAAGGCATAGAGGTTCAATTAAATAAATATAATTTAGGTGTGATTTCATTGAACCTCTTTGTTGTGAAAGCGCTGTGTTATTACAGAATAGCATACCTGATTTAAGGACTATTCTGAATTACTTTCAATAAGGCTTATTGAAAGTAATTCGGAATCGTTTTAAGATTATTATTTTGGTTTCTATGATTTGTGGATAGAGATTATAGTAGTTTGCACTCACGTGGCATGGCTGCGCGTTTCTGGCGGGCTGAAAGTGCGACGTTCAAATTTTTTAAAATTAAGAGTAACTGTTCTATTATTAATTACTTATATAGAATTGTTCTATATAAATAACGCATATATTAAATTATTATTACACAAAAATTCTTGAGTACCCTGAAATAAGCTAACCAGATAAGTTCTAATTGAGGAGTCTAATAGCACAGTGGAAAGCCTGTTCAATAATTTGATTACTACGTTAAAATTCTATGGCGGCTTTGAAAATTTTTAGTTAGTGGATACTAAAAATGTGTCTTGTCAACAATACTAATATTATATTTGATCGATTTATAACTTACAATGCTATACTGAAAAATATACTTAATGAAAAAATCATGGGTTCGATCTCAGGGTGCCGGGGACCAAGTGGATATTTTGAGCATTTTTCATTAAAAATACTAATATAAAGAGGATGAATTGTTTGTTTACATTGAACAGGCTCCGAAACTACTGAACTTATTTTACGAATGCCTTCATCTACAGGAAGCTACGTCATACGCGAGCGAAGTCATTGGATGAGAGTTACGGATAAAGTTGTGGATTTTGTCATATCTGCAGAAATACGTCCATTGTAATTATGAGTGTCTCACGTCTTTGATACAGATGCTGTTAGACTTATCAAACAAGCCCATGAAGCCGAACGCAGCGACCGCCTTCTGAAACTTGATGGTTAGTGCCTCGCACCACTCACTCATCTTCACGATGTTAACAAATTGTACGCGCAGGTGCCGTTGCAAGAGGAACTTATGTATTGGATAGATCTTATCCTGAAATTTAACAGATGTAGTATCAAGTTACTGAAGGTTCATCTCTTTGCTTCTCTAATGAATTAACAATTAAGCTTGATTCACACATACCAGAGACGTAATAAGGAAATAATAATTTATCTTTATTCTTTCATGCATTCTTTATGAACGTATCTTTACCCGTCAGTGACGGTTCCTGTACTGAACCAGTGATAAGCTTGAACTCCTTGGAACAATTATCTGTACTTAATACAAGTTTAAATAAATCTTCAAATTGTCAAAGGTAGCTGAACTCACGTCTTTATAGAAGAAATGCCATCCTGCTGTGAAGCACTCTTCGTGTAAAGTCAAAACGTCCTCTCCTTTCCAGTCTATACCGAGACCTCTTAATGGGATTTCAGTAATTATGTCCGGAACTTTCCTTCTTAACAGCATCAACGCTGGTGACTTCTCTGTGAGACACCCTCGACTACCCGTTAAATTGGTCACTAATTAAATAAAAAAAAACATATGTAAATTATGTCAAATTGTGTATAATATAAATAGATTTTCCTTCGTATATTTGGAAACCAATCATCCTTTTGTTCAGCCTTAATTCTTCTTTCTCTTTATTGTACCTACCTTTATAAAAATTTTAGAAAATAACTGGCTGGTGAGTCAGTAAAGTGTAAATAGGTTGATGCCTGACACCTGTATCTGCCATAGTTTTCGAATTTTATGTAGAGGGCAATTATAGTCCAATTATATCACTATCATAGATTGGCTAAGGCCCACACTCCACCAAAGCGGAGACGAGACGAATGCAGAGGAGATGTTTTTTAAACAACCAATAGAATTTCGCTATTCATACATCTCGTCTCCGCTAAGCTCCAGTGGAGATCGCTAAGCGGAGATGTTTTATATTTGTATGGTGCGATGGAAGCGGAGATGAGAGCTGTGCCTTGACGAGACGCAGCGGAGACGAGAAGATGTGAGCGTACGTTTTTATAAAAGCGACATAACGTCTACCTTTCGTGTCAGAACGCGTACTGAGCACTCAATGCCTTGCACACTCTCAACGCTAGCTAACGCACATCTCCGCGACACAATACGCATCTCCGCACAGCTTCGGTGGATTCACCCGAACCGAATAACATCTCTTCTCGTCTCCACATTGGACATCTCCGTTTTGGTGGAGTGTGGGCCTAATGTTTCACAATTTCAAAGGATTCCATCGCTAAAAGTTTGACTCTTCCACTAACTCTTATCCTCTGCCACTAACTCTACTTTAAAACTCGTCACAAAGCTCAATCTGTGTTTATTGACCTTGGATACATCTCGCTGTACACAATGTTGTCTAAGTGCTTGACGTGACAATGAATAAGTGTTAATTGTTTAAAAGTATCTTGACGATGGAAGTGATATTTATTTGTAGTGCTAAAGTTAATTGCTTGTAATAATTTGAAATACCAAATTACTTGATGGACATTGCAAAATATATACTTAACAGTTACATGGTCTGATCACCAACGCTTATCGTATTTGCACCTCGGAGAATACCATCAGCTACCAATAAGTATACTTACAGTTGGGTATAAGTATTTTGGTGACTTGCACTCGGATGCCGCGGCGAGGATGACGGTAGCTGGTGCCAACGATGACGGTGATGGGCCGGTGGTCATGCTTGATTACGCCAGGGTTGTTGATGCAAACAGCTGCCGTGAGGACCGCGGTACGAGACACCAGGGTACCGACGCATAAGCCTCGGTATCGTGACGCGAAGTAAACCTAGTTTTTGAAATGATCCTTCATGTTCGAGAGTCTTGCTTCTTACTTGTTGTAATTACTGTAAATATATCTTATGCAACTTCCACAATCAATTTAGTAGCTAGTATATTATCATTTACTAAACTACGCTTAGTGTGGTCTAGTTTCCCCGCTCCGAATATTCTCAAAGACATTATACATTGCAGCGCTGTATAATGTCTTTGAGAATATTCGGATTACATGAGGATGCTTTTGAAGGGTCCCGGTTTTCCGGATCACATCCTCCAGGTTAGTTTTCCGTAGAGATTTTAGTGTTAAACCTCCGAGATCAGAGGAGAGTCCTATACATCTTCGTGTCGGTAGGGGAAATTAAGGAGATAATGCGCCGTTTAAATCGTTTAAATTCTCTTACAGGGTCTTACACCCGTATCTGTAGCCGAGTAAATAATTACTTAAGTAGATATTTTTGATGAATAAATAAGTGTAAGTACTGTTAATAATAAGAATACTAGTTCATATTTCATTCAAAATCTCGTCTAATTATTAAAAGTATCTGCTTATGTTATGCCATTTTCTCAAGTAATAGCGTGTATACAACTTTTTTATATTTTTTATTTTATGGATAATATTTAATATTTAAAAATAAATTTCCCTTTTTTTTAATTTCCCGCGAAAACGCCACTTTTGACATGGCCTCGCTATGTCGTCTCATACTCTGAAACTGATATCGCTCTATATTTGCATAAGGTTGAATTCTTTAAGTTCTAATATGAGTAAGAGGGTGGTGACGTCACGCGCTGTTTGCAGTCACGTGACAACGGGTATAAAATATTTGATTTATTCATAATTAGTTTAACACGTTCACTGCGACACCAATTTTTGCATACTTTCCGTTCCTGCGGCATGGGGTGTTATCGGCCTGCACCGTCACCAGACGTTAGGGCGACAAGCGGTCTATTAGACCCCACATCCCGTAGCGGACTAAAATCAATTTTCTGGCGCGAAATCAAAGAGAAATGAGAATGTTGGTCTTTATTAATATAGACAGTGAATTGATAAACCCTAATCTACCGTCGCCTCGGGATCTGCTAGCTAGTTTAGGAATTATAGGCAAAACAAAATATGGGATCTTATTCACCCCGTAAAGCACTGAAATAGAGCAAATTTTTGCTGAGATTAGTGATGAGAAAAATAATATCGACGACTTTAATTTGTTTCCTTTTTTAATATCCAAGTAACCAACAAATAAACACACTAACAGCGTAGAATAATGTAAAATATTATGATAGCATTCCTTTTACTTTTTAGGGGTTTCAAAATACACTTAGAACTTAAATTAACATAAAATATTCAGTCTCAATATTTTTTATTATTAAAAATCTCAAAATATAATGTTTTGCACTTATTTACGAGTGATTTTCATTGAAACAGGGCAGACAATATGATTTTTTGCACTGAGTGCACTGAGTCAAAATCTTTTTGGATTTTTTTTCAGCTTCACGAGATGGCAACAATTTACGTAGTTTCTGGTAACAAGCAACACATCTTCTCCTTTTTTCACCCTTTTCGAGGTAATGACGTGCGCTGCTTTCTAGTGCTAAAAATTATAAAAATATTAAGTTAATGTAATAAAACAGGCATTGTTACTTAGGTTAGATCATAGATGAGAATAACAATAATAATGTATCACTACAGAAAATGAATATGTTTGCTTTACCCTTAAAATGTTGAAATAGTAGGTAGGTAAACTTGAATTCAGTATGGTAATTTAATTTTGCGAAAAGGAAACAATAAGAAATAACTCAATAATGACCAAATCTGAAGATCAGTTTATGAAAGGTTCTACATGTTGACATGGTCAGCCTATTGAAAGTTTACTTTGGTCAAGACTAAGAAATATATCTCAAAATTACCTGGGATCACATCGATTTCCTTCTTTGTAAAAGATTCTATAAGTTTCTCCACAAAGAGTCATTTTGTTATTTTTTTTCCATTATTTTGGATTGAATTAAACACAATTAAGTACATAGGTACCTAGAAAAAAAAAGATAAAAAGATAAGATAAAATCTCTTTATTGCACAACACATAGCATAGAAATACATACAAAACAATGACAAACAAATAACATTGTACAATAGGCGGCCTTATCGCTTAAAAGCGATCTCTTCCAGACAACCTATTAAGACAGTATATAACAGTAAATAAGTAAAAAACTACTTTCTAAATACTATTTAATTAAAGACTTACCTGTTTTGGCAAATCCAACTTCTTCCGACATCGTTGGGATATGTTCGACGTTAAAAAAACGGGCGTGCTCATTTATCGACGTCATGCACAACACTGGTCGCGGGGAGCTCGCGTTCGGTGCGGTACGAGGTCAGGGGGGAATTGGGACGTTTTAGCCACGTTCCGCACTGCATTACAATTAAATTAATTCAGTGCGGCTTGGGGCCTAATAGATCTGGTACCAAGGTAGGTATACCACCGAGTCCGGGACCATTAGCACATCTCAAATATATATTTATCACTTTCCTACACTGGATCAAACCGAAAATATGCCCGTCGCACGACAGAGAGGTTCACGTTTTTCCTTGCCGCACCACAGGGAAGTTGCATATGGGATGATTAAGCCTCTCTTCGCACTTAACGTGTTAAGCAATATTATAAATATAATAAGCATAAAAGTGTGATTATCGGTAATAGTATATTAAATACTACCAAGTAACAAGTGCTTGAAAGATTCGTCAGTCCTGTTAGGTCCTGGGTAGCTCAGTGGTTAGAGCAGTCGCCCAGATTGCGAAAGGTCGTGGGTTCGATTCCCATCTCAGGGTGCCAGGGACCAAGTGGATTTTTTAAGCATTATGTATTAAGAATGGAAAAATATGTGTTAAATTTGGTTTACCGTCTACACCCGCATTACTTCTCGTCTATAGAGCGCATTTTTAGTGCCACAATATTTAAATATAAATAGAGATGTTGATCGTTACTTACAAGAAACGGCAAGCTACCATCCTTGGGCTTGAATGGCTCGCGGCTATTACACACTGTCACACAGAGACCTGCGTAAATTAAAAATGAGTGACAAAATTAGCGCTAATTTATATAATCGAATTAATCTAGTTCATAAAAATGCTGAGTGGATTTTAAAGACATGTAAGTACTATGTCATGTCTTCGCATCACATGCCGCTCTGCTTAACACTATTACGCGATCACGAAGCCAGAAACGCATCAATGAGATTTCGCCAAGTTACTAGATTCTAACGAGACAAACAAATAGATAACTAACATAGTCAGTGTCAAGTTCATGAGTTTCTGGACATGTTCATGACTAACAGGACTTTTTTGTGAATATAGCACGGAAGCGTGGAAGAGTCGCACATTAGTCCTGTTTTGAATGCCTGCAAATAGCCCCAAAAAAGCATTGAAACGTTTAACACCAAGTTTTAATCAAAATAGAATTGCCGCCGCAGAAATAGCTAAGGTAAGTATCACCTTAGACTGTAGACTAAAATTTGTGTCCACATAAACCAGATTAAGTAATTCAACATATACAAAACTTTATTATAAACACATATGAAATTATATATTTCTCCATCCTGCAAATGTAAAATGTAAATCGATACACGTAACTACGTTTTTGCATAATAAATTTGCCTACCCAGAAACAGTAACGCAGCGTTGTATTTGTTCATGGCGTTGATTAATTCTTTCCCTCACTGTGGTAGGTACTGTTGATAATAATTTAATCAGTGAATTGTACCATTCGAAAATATTGGATATCTGCACGAAACGAAATGACGCTGGCGACCGCAAGCGTTCGTTTCAACATAATTTAATATTATGTTTTGCGTTAGTCGTGTCGCAGTGTTTAGAAGTCGTTTATTTGGCGAATCGATATGTCGACATTTGAGCCGATCCGATGAAACCGCAACGTGAAAATCATTCTATCACACGAATATTTGAATAGAATAAATGTATTCAGATTAATTTTAATAATAATGTGACGTCAAGTTCGATGACCCAATGACTTATGCAAATGTCGCAAAGACCGGACGTCGGGTGGGTCAAACAACCATTTTCTCTGACTCCTTGATGTCCAACAACTCCTTGGTTCTCCGTTGGTGTTTATATCCCACAATGAAGATATAATATTAACCATAACAGGTGTAGTAAAACTATTTTATCCGCAAACAACGTTCATTATTTTGGAATAGGTCGGTGCTCTTCGTAACACAACTGTGCGATAATTACGTTCAAGCTTTGATCCTCAGCTGTCTCCGGCACCGCATTACACTGCACAACACCGCACAGCTTTTGAGATCTTTTAAAAAACGTGACAGAATACCGCTTGCGAACGGAGCAAAGTGATTAAGAAAACTGGAAATACGAATAAAAAAGAACCTCTTAAAATTGAAATCTTTATAATTCAAGAATTTATGAAACTGCATTTGATGTTGATCAGCGAATAGTTCGTCTTACATTTTGTAGTTTATTTATATGATCAGCTAAAGAATAAAAATGTATCAAGGACGCAATGTTTTTGCTAAATAAATGTGGATAATAATAATCCAAGTTGTTTAAAGACGGTTATAGTACAATTTTATTGATGATCAAAGAGAACAAGTAACAAATAGAAAAGAAACAAAAAGGTTTACTGTCTTAAAATAAAACTATATCAGACGACCAATTGAATCCGCAACACGCAAATATTGCGGAGTTACCAAATAGAATAATTAAGCCGAATCAATAACCTATTCCTATTCTGATTCTGTTTTATGAAACTGAAATTCGTAGTTAAAGATTTAATAAAAGTGGCAAAACATATAAAATTCCATCCAAAATAAAATCTTGTTCCACCTCTCCAGCTGGTGACATAAAAATAACAAGTGTTAACGTCTGCCAATAGCGATCT